CATATGAGGAACAGAACTCATCGATGCCTACAACATCTTTAATCTAGGAATAAGAGGTAAGTAATGCATCGACTTCGCAGCAGCCTTCTTCCCGCTGGAAAGCCGCTTAAACGAGGTTTTTCACAAAATTTACAACTTTCTAAATCTGCATCACCCTTATAATACAACATGCAACCATCTTCACAACAATCGATTCTCATAGACGAGAGTCCTAACTTAGAAACCAATCTTTTAGCCTTATAGAAATCTTCAGGTATGTTGAAAGCTGGGTCAACTAGTTCACTCATAAGGCCAATGAAAGAATCCATTCCCGCTTGAGAAATATTGGTATTTGAGTTGATACTTAATAATCTAAACGCAACAGACAACTGAGAGTGCATGCTCCCTTGTCTTAGTGGATGACTGGCGGCCTCTAACTGTTCATAAAAATATTTTGCCTCTTCGTTAGGAGGTTGTTCAACACTTTCATGGGTTTGAAAATCGAAGTGCATCCTTAAAGCATCCGCAACCATTTCATGGTATCTAGGATGTTGAACGCTATTCTCCAACGACCTACTACTTTCACCAACAACTAAGTTATGAAATACAGCATCAGTACCATCAACCTCTCCATGATTAGTCCACACAAAATGATTGTCCATAAACCTCTTTCTATAAAGATGAGTCGTAACATCCTCCGGACAAAAAAAATGCAAACACATGCACTTCGTACAAGGACACCTAATCATCCCTCCAATTCGAGACGGTTCAAGTGACATTGTGTGACGACCCAAAGGGTCATCACCTGTATTCCTACTCACTCCGTATCTTTGAGGCCGTGAAAACCTCACTTGGGGGTTGCCTCGAATTTGTGTGCGCAGTCCGGGCGCGTAGCCGGAACGTATATATATGAATTTGTGAGAAAGATAATAAAAATTTTGATGTTTTAATTGACTAAGTTTGACTTCGGCCAACATTTTGGGCAAACGGACCCGGACTCGTAATTCGACAGTCCCGGAGGGGCCGTAGGAAAATATGAGACTTGGGGGGGGGGGTGCCCGGAATCAAATTCCGAGGTTCCGAGTCCAAGGAAATGAATTAATGTGTGAAATTGTTTTCTGAAAATAATTAAAGAATTTGAAAGTGTTATTTGTTTAGAAGACTGTGCTGTTGGGCTCGTATTTTGGTTCCGACGCCCGACACAAGTCTTAAATGTGATTTAAGCAATTGCTGTAAAGTTTGGTTAGATTTGGACGTCGTTTGACGTGTTTTGGACAAAAACTCTAAACTTGATGTCTTCTGAAAATTGGGAGGAAATCATGGGTCTTGAGGCCTAATTTGATGATTTCGATGTTGTTTTGGCGATTGGATCGCACAGATGAGTTTGTAGGATGTTATTGAGTTAGTGTGTATGCTTAGTTTGGAGCCCCGAGGGCTCCGCTGAGTTTTGAGTAGGTCCTGGGAGGCCTTAGGCTTAAAGTAACAGATGTTGCAGTGTTGCAGGCCCCAGTGCGGCCGCGGTCATTCCCGCGCGGTCGGTAATTCCCGCACGGTTCGCGTGACCAGATTCAGAGGGGCCCTCAGCCTTGGTTTGACCAGTGCGGCCGCGCACCAAGTTCGTGCGGTCCGCGCTGGGAGATTGAGAGAAGGCCCCAGGTGCAAGACACCAGCGCGGCCGCGCACCAAAATCGTGCGGTCCGCGCTGGGTAGGTTCAGAGAGTTGTTTTCCCTCCCTTCCTCGGCGCGGCCGCGGGGCATTTTTGCGCGGTCCGCGCCAGTCCTTCAGCAAAGTATATAAATCTGAGATTTTCAGTCATGTTGCACTTTTTCAAAACCCAAAACATAAGAGGCGATTTTCCAAACGATTCTTCTCCTTTAAAACGATTGGTAAGTGATTTCTAACTTATTTTCTTTGCTTCTTAGCATCTTTAAACATAATTTCAACTTCAAAACAAAGATTTTAATGGGGGAATTTGGGAATTTAGGGTAGAACTAGGGTTTCAAAATTTGGGGGTTTTGGACCTCAATTTGAGGTCCGATTCCAAAATAACTTATATATCCGAGTTCGTGGGGGACTGGGTAGTCGGGTTTTGGTTCGAACCTCGGGTTTTGACCACGTGGGCCCGGGGGCATTTTGGGGGTTTTTGAACAAACTTTGGGAAATTCACTTTTCATGCATTCAAATTTATTAGATTAGCCTTTGTTGATACACTCAAGTAATTTGTGACTAGATTCGAGCGGTTTGGTGGTGAATTCGAAGGGTAAAGCTATACTAGAGGATTGAGTTGAGTTTGGAGCATTTGAGGTAAGTGTTTGTTCTAACTTTGGCTTGAGGGAATAGGATTAGGATGTTAATTGCTACTTGCTAAATGTGGAGTACGGTGTATAGGTATGGTGACGGTTATCTATGCACCGGAGTCTAGCATGACCGTGAGTCTTAACTGCTTTTAATTCGAATGACGTGACACAATTTCCTGGTTAAATTGATAAATTTCATATAATGTGAACGGTTGAGGAAGAATTGTGATTGGCATATTTTGGAGCGTTGGCTCGAACAAGAATGTGATAGTCGAGAGAGAAGTGATTTAAAAGAGGATGTGTTGTGATTATTCCCTTGCCGGGACGTGTAGACTATTATTACGTACTCTCCCTTGCCGGGATATTCGGGTTGTTAGTTGTACCCTTGCCGGGTTAAAGTGTTATGTTGTCGAATTCCCCTAATGGGGCCTTCTTTGCAAGTCAGATATTTTGAACTATAATATGGGATCGTGTGGCACGCCGTCCACTTATATATATATTATGAAATGGGATCGTGTGGCACACCGACCACTAGTATATTATGAAATGGGATCGTGTGGCACGCCGTCCACTTATGAATTAAGAAATGGGATCGTGTGGCGCGCCGTCCACTTATGAATTAAGAAATGGGATCGTGTGGCACGCCGTCCACTTATGAATTAAGAAATGGGATCGTGTGGCGCGCCGACCACTTATATATGAGCTATGGTATTGAGATAGTTTCGTCGTTACATCCGTTGATCTATGTACGCTGTATTTTTCCCGAGCATGCCCCCTTCCCCTTTTTAGTTGATATTCTCTATTGTTATTTCTGTTGCCTTTGTATATACATATCTGCACAGGTTGTTTTTTGTAGGTCCTGTCTAGCCTCGTCACTACCTCGCCGTGTTAGGCCAGGCACTTACCAGCACATGGGGTCGGTTGTGCTGATGCTACACTTCTGTGCTTTTTACACAGATCATAGTACCGGAGCAGGAGCTTTTGGACAGCAGTAGGAGCGTTGGGAGCTTACTTCAGTCCGGAGATTTCCGAGGTAGCCTTGCTGACGTCCGCAATGGCCTGGAGTCTCTCTTATCTCTGTCTTTCGTTTGATTTCCCTTGTATCGGATCATTCTGTACTGTATTCTTATTCAGACTTTGCATTTAGCATTCAGTAGAAGTTCGTGAGTTAGTGACACCAGATCTGGGTAGAGGTGTATTTGAATTTCCGCACTTGGTTTCAGTTATTTATGTTTCGAGACTTCCGCTTTTATATTAATTGCCTCGTTCTTCTTTATACTGTTAATGTTGTTGAGAGAAATGTTAAACTAATTGGCTTGCCTAGCTCCTATTAGTAGGCGCCATCACGACTCCCGAGGATGGGAAATCCGGGTCGTGACACATTGCATGCCTAATAAATTCCTTAACTCCTTCTATAAATTCCTCCCTAAAAAACCGACGATAGGATAATTCCTATTATACATCCAACTACGATATTCCATCTACATAGAGGACAAATAAATTATATTAATCATAGTTCAAATTACTTTATAGAATTAAGTTACATAATAAATTATAATTTGTTATCACACTCAATTAATCTAGCATAATTAGTTAAGCCTAATTTTCTAAAAGCAATAAACACTAATAGAACAATATAATCCCCTAAATAAGTTACAATGTACTTATATTCTTTGATAGTGTAAACATTATAGCATCCATTTTTTTTAAGAACTAGTTTATACAATTCATAATTTATACCTTAAATTACAAAATTATAGAATTAAGTTGCAATGTACTAGTTTATACAATTCATAATTTATACCTTAAGTTACAAACCTAATATAGTTAAAACCAAAAACCCAAAAAAATTATAATTTTAGGTAGTTCAATTCTAAATCTAAATCTAATGTAGCTCAAAAATCCTATTTAGTCACACAAATCCTAAATATACAAAAATCCTAAATAATTATATAAAATTATATTCCGAAAATTAAAAATTAAAAATTAAAAATCTAATAATTAAGGTAAATTACTAACATTGAACAACTATATATATATATATATATATATGTGCTAAGTGTATAGTATATAAGCTATATAAATGTATATGACCAAAGGATGTGGTGCAGTAGATGAGACTGCTCTTCCCTTAACCAGAGGTCTCGAGTTCGAGTCCTGGGTATGGAAAAATCCTTGGTAGGGAGCGCTTCCCCCCGAATGGAGCGCTACGCGGCGCGAATCCGGATATGGTCGGGCTCCAAATGCGGGTGCCGGACACCGAGTGAGTAATCACAAAAAAAAATGTACATATAGTATCTTATAGTGTGTGTGTGTGTATATATATATATATATATATATATATATATATATATATATATATATATATCAAATAAGTATTAAATATTATTTATTTAAAAGATATTTATTATTTACACACACACAAAAAAAAAATATTATTAAATTTAAATTTTAATTATTTTAAAATCGTGTTTCCGACCGAACTCGGTCGTAAATATTTAATTATAAGCTATATTACATTTTTGTCTTGGGCGGAAAATATTAATTTTAAACTTTCCGAACGAGTTCGATCGGAAATTTGAAAAAAGTTTAATAAAAAATTATTTTTGTACATTATATACAAGTTTGACCATGTGTGGGTCAAATATTGATCAATTTCTGACATCAGTCGGAATTTTTGAAAAGAAAAATACAAAAAGAAAGAACTAATCATAATTGGCCAGCAGTTTTTTCCCAAAAAACACTGCAAAACCAAGCAGTTTTTTTCATTAAAACCCAGCTCTAAACCAGCCCCAAAATACGATGAAACTCACAAGCTTCGGTTGAGTTCGATGTGCGTTTCGTTAGCTCCTTTTCGAGTTTGTCCCGGTTTTGGTTGATACTTATCCAACTGTAAAGCTTTCTTTGGAGACTCTTGTTAAATTGAGAAGTGTCATCTTAAAGGTCCATATCTAACCCCTTTTGTTTTTATTTAAGGAACTTGCATGTTTGTATGATTTTTTGTTAAGTTTTGATGGTGTGGTGACGTTATGATTCATGCTTAAAATTGTTAAGGTTCAATATTCTGTCTTAGTAAATGTTATGAGATCTGGCTGTTCAACTTAGCTAGTAATTCAATCTAAGTCCTTGCCGCCTACAAGGTGTTTGAGTTTTTGCTCATTTGAGTTACGTCATTATTATGTTCAAATTCGTTCTTTATTTTAGATTATATGGATAATCCCTGAATTCTTCCATACTATTTTTACCTTATCCACTTTATCAAAAGGTAATGCCTTTATTAGTACAAGTTATGAATTCAAACATGGTTACAGAGGATCTGCTTAGTAGACGATTTTGTGGCTATTATAAGTTAGATTATTGCTCAGCGTTTGAGAGTCTTCAAATTGAAATTTGAGGTTGTGCATGTGGCAGAAGAGGAAAGAATAATAGGAGAGAAATATTTTGCTTTGTTTGACATTGGATTCATTGGGATTATTTAATGAACATGAATAGTTGAATCGTATGGAATATTCAGAATGAAAGGGGATTTTCCTAATGAGTTTTGATAAGTTTATGTTAATCTTCGAGGTTTGTATAGAGTAGAATACTAGATATAATCGTTAGATTGGTGTACTAGTTAGTATTGATAATATGAAATGGTATGTTGTAAACATCTCCAAATGTGAATAGCTTTTTAATACTCCAAATAGCTAAAATATTTTTGACTTCCCACAACCCCATGTTCATAAATTTTTAGCCTTACAATAATCTCGAACTTAGAAAGAATAATCATAAACATCGCTAGCATGTTGTTAGGTGCATATAATAATAAATCATCAAGTTATGAGTACGATTTTCGTGACATAACTGTGATACTTTATCCCAAATTCAAGTGCGCACTCGCGTGCCTTGATCCTTAACTTCAAATAAATAATAATGAACGTATTGTAAATTATGGGTACGTTCGCGTGGCATGATTTACAATATGTGCAAAACAACAAGTATACGACATCTTGACTTGTTCAAAATAAACTTCATCACTACTTAAAATACATGGTTAAAAGTGGTAATGCATAAAAGGCTCTAAGAATGTAATAATCCGGATAAAATAAGCCAAGTGTAAACTGTTAAGCGGCCGTGCTAAAGCCACGGAACTCGGGAGTGCCTTACACTTTCTCCCGGGTTAACAGAATTCCTTACCCGGACTTCTGTGTTCGCATACAATATTCAGAGTTAAACTTTCCCCGAATCAGGTTTTTTAATAAATCGGTGACTTGGAACACTGTAATAAATTATTCCAAGTAGCGATTCTTTTAAAATTAAATAAATCTATCACTTTTTAAATTGGAAAAACTCCTTTCTTTCCGCAATCCCAGAAAAAAAGAAGGTGTGACAATTTTAAAATTAATGGATAAAATAATTTGACGTTATATAATGATTTATTGTCCCAAAATAGGGTAACAAGGCGATATGCAAATTTTATTTATTAAGAGGAGCAATGACTATACACTTATCTACTGTTTACTGATTCAATCTATAATGACATCCATATTTGATCTTAGATCAGTTTAGAGAGTTCACGTAGGCATTTTATGAGCTTTTGACCTGGTCGATTTCCACCTCCCATTTTCTTCTCCTAACTTTTACTTTCAATATTAAAAAATTTTGGACTCTTTTTTAATCCATTATAAAGTGATGGATACTAACGTCGAAACACAGAAATAATTATTTAACCTTCTCAAGTTAGCATCCCAACTACAACACTTGTATGAGTCCAATTTATTTCTGTCACGTTAAATAGGTATCTTTGTATGTTTTATTTATGTCCATATAAGTAATTAAGCTGTCCGGTTTAGTTTCCGGTTCAAGTTTCAAAAGAACATCACTCCTTTCCTCCGTAACGCCGCCTGCTTCTGGCTTCTCTTTGGACGGTGAAATGTTGGGGGAAGGATGAGTGTAATGTTTAGAGGTAGAAGCATTTTGGTCCGTCTTTCACGGCGATCTACGCTCCTCCAGAGAAGAACACTTTGCGGCAACAACAAGCAAATCACCCTCGGCAACAATAACAACGGCAAGGTCAGTAGTAATAGTGCCGAGGAAGTTAACAACTCTGTTTCTTTAAGTCGTCACGATGCTTATAAACAGTTGGAGAACCTGGACTTTATGACTGCTGCCAAGATGCTTTTTACGGACCCACCCAAGAAGAAGAAATTCGGGTACTTTGCTTATTAATTTTGCTGTTGCATTTCTCATTGACATTTTATCAAACAGTTTGCTTCAGTTCTCTTCATTCCACTCGAATGCGTTTTAACCAAGCCTATGCTTTCATTTATGCTGTGGTATAATTCATCAGGGCAAAATGAAAGTTGTATAGATTTCAATGTGAAACTGTGTTGGAAAATTAGTTGAAACAGTATGATCAGGAAGCATGCTACAAGTGGTATGTAAATGATCATTGGACACTAGCTTTGAGATCTGAATGCTGAATTTAACATGTCTTATAGTAAGTAGTAATGTTTTCTGAGTTGCCTAGATATGAGGTATGTTGTAAAGTAAGATTGCATGGTTGGAGGGTTGTGATATGCTGCCACTGATTTTCACTAGTGCGGGAGACTTTGTTCGCACACCCAACAATTTATGCACATTTCTGCTTTGCATAAGCTAAAATGTATGAAGTAACATGGTCACTGAGGATTAAAATAGCTGAACCCAACTTGTTTGGGACTGAGACTTAGTTGTTGTTGTATAAGCAAAAATATAAAGATGGCAGGCTCTTAAGTTGTTGCTAGTTTTTTTTTACAAATGTGATTCTGAATACTCATATAATATTTTTGTTCAGTCCAAGCACTGCTAATCTACCTGCAGATTTTCTACCAAATTTGGACATGCATTTTCCGTAGAGCAATTAGTATGCTGCGGTTTTAATCTCCTTGACAGCCAATAGATGTTTCCCGTTTCACCAGCTATATCTTAAAATTTAAATGGATTTTTGTTTCCGCAGTTGCTAGTTTGTAGCGAATAACATATTTTGTTCAGGTATTATCACTTGAGATATAAGAACTTTGAATACCATATTCCTGCTATTTTATGTCCGCTTACACAATCTGGTCACATGCATAACTCATTTCACTTTTCTTATGCGCTTGAAATTAGAACATGCCTTCTATTCTTCAACCTTTAAGTTGCATCAGCATGACTATTGTCTGTTTGTCATGGAATCTATTGAACTCCGGATGTAAATATCTCTACTTATTGTTCTTATATGTTCTCCACCTCCTGTCGGGTTGTTAATATTGAATTACAAGCGCACTTTTAACAAAATGCGCTCCTTATTTTTGTCGTTTGACATTTTTTCCCTCTTCTTTCATGATCAGGATTGATTTTCATCTGGTACAATTCTTCTTTGCCTGCTTGCCTTCACTTGGTACCTCTATTTTCATGTTTATCACATTTTAATTTGATGTTTGAAGTACATTTTCATCTGATAATTCTGTCTGAAATGCCATTTCCTGTACAGCTGTATATTTGGTGGCTCAGTATTCTCGCTATGAAATGAGAAGAATGGAGGCGGTAAACTTATCCTTCTTTGACTTCTTTATTTTTTTCCATCTTAGAATGATACTTGCTAGTGGTAGATCTCCATTTATCAAGGTCACTTCTTGTTTACACTATGTGATTGTGGGATATCTCTTAAGAGTCTTCATGGGATACTTGTGCCCACAAGTATAAGAGACTGCAGACTTCTCTAAATGGATGATGAGGCATGTCTGGAAGAGTGAGTTTTTAGATGAAATGCATTTAATAAGAGACCGATGCAAATTTTTCTCCTGGATAATTTGAAATATAACACCAAAATTGCAAACAACGTGTCATTGGCAATGCCTGTAGTGTAAAATGTGTTCTTTACTCACTTTTATGCTATCCAAAGTTATACTTATGCCCCTTGTTTTGTTTTTTTCCTTGATGGCATGAGATTGCTTTTCCTTTAAGAATTTATTTAATTTTTAAATACATTTAGTAGGAAAAGATATGTTTAGTCGATTTTAATCTAGTTACAGAACTTCTTTAAATATTTTTAGGAGTTCAATGATATTTGTCCCAGAAAAAGTAAAAGGGTCTGAACCAATTGTTCCAAAGCAAACTAAACAGCTCAAGCACTTGCATTTTTTCCGAAAAAACAAAACCAGAATCTCCCAATACTAATTCAAAAACTAAACTGTTTTCTTATTCTTTTTATATAACCTTGGACTGAGATAAGCTTAAATGGGGCGACGGATAGTGAGGATTCATATAGTGGATCCTGACTTGCTTGGCATTGAGGTGTTGGAGTAGTTTTAGTGTAGTAGTTGCTGTTGCCCTGTATATGGATAAATATTTTTTAGTTGCTACTGAGAATGGCAGATGAGACAGTGAGTTGGAATATTAATATAGTCGGAAGGGAAAGGAGTACTTTATGGGAAATGACACCATTATGTAATTTTTGGACATTTGGAATTGGAGGAATAAAAGAATGTTTTGTCACATAGAACGGGATTTGGGCAGTCTGAAGAGATCAGTTTTTTTTCCCCTAATATTTTTAGTGTGAAGAAAATAGTATTTTGCATTGATAGTTGGGCAAGAATGGTAGAAGAAGCGAGAATACTACATACTCCATTATTGGTTGTAAATCTGATGAAGTCCTTTGATTAAAAAGAAAATAATGGAAAAGTAGTACCTTTTAGTATAAACATAAGACTGTTTCTTGCAAAATAGGAGCTTTGGGACTGCTGTCATCAGAAAGAGCCTCTCTACCTTCGAGGTAGGGGTAAGGTCTGCGTACGCACTACCCGTCCCAGACTCCACTTGTGGGATTATACTGGGTTTGTTGTTGTTGGGACTGCTGTCATCAATTCTAGTGTGAAAGCTAAAAGAAAGGGACAGAGATCTTTCTAAAGGGGTGAAAGAGCATAAATTCTCCTTACTACCTAGGACTGTGTAATGCAGAAGAAAGTTTAAATGGTGTTCCTTTGCAAGTTAAATCAGTTTTAATTTCCCGGGAATTGGGGAAGTTGCATCCACATCTCTAGAAACATACTCGTTTCAGCATAGCTCTTGCTGTGGTAAGTTATACTGTGCTGCTAGGTCTTTTGGAAGTTGAAGATTTACTTTTGAGATGTGAAATGCATTGTTTTAGGAAGCATTTGTGTTCTGTATGGGAATATTACATCAACTATGGATCTCATCTAAAATTTTACCATTTGAATAAAGTAATTAATAAATTGTCTAAAGGCAGTCTTCTCAAAATTTCTTGACTCTCTCTAAAGTATGATATTTTATGAAGCTACTTAATTTACTTTCTTTTGTCTAGTGAATTCTGTCTATTATGCTATCTCAAAAACATGTTCTAATGACTGTGTCATCTTAATTTTTTCCTCTAGGTGTACATCTTTTTTTTTTTTGAAATTAAATTCGTTAATCGGAAAAGGTAGGAGCACTCTTCTGATAACATTACCTATGTACCTCCACCTGAAAGATCAAGCTTCTTTGCTTACGCATACTTCCATTGCTTTTTGCTAGTATTAGTTCTTAGTTGTCTATCTTGTTCAAAAAATTATCAGGAAGCCGAATTGAAAAAGAAAGCTGAAGAAGAAGCAAAAGCAAAAGAGCTGGAATTGATGGCTGAGGAGGAAAAACAAGCAACTGATCCACAACTTTCTGAGGTGAAAGCAAGACTAGATAAGTTGGAGGAGACCATAAAAGAAATTGTGGTCGATTCCAAGAAACAATCAAATGATGTTGCCGAAAGATCAGTCAGCAATGCTGTCAAGAAAGGACCTGGAACAACCGAGCCAGGAACTCCTGACGCTAAGGAAAAGACAACTTCCTCTAGTGATGGAAAAACTCAACCAAGAACATCTTTGCCTGATCAAAAGCAAATAAAAAATGAAGGTTCCTCCCCTGACGCAAAGAAATGAATTCATTAGCATATATTATTTCGCATAGTCAAGCTTTTTGAAGAGTTCGAAGTGCATAGCTTTGCAGAACAGGGAAAAGCCACTGCTTTTAAGTGCTGTTGCTTCATTTTTCTCAAATCAATGTGAATTAGAAGAAATTTGGAAGATGTAACATTTGCTAAGGATCATTGCTGCCATTTTAATGGATCATTAGCAGAAAAGCTTAGTTTTGGAGCATCAGACATTTGACGATATCATTGTTTTGTTAAGAATCTGGGTACACGGGAATGTATAATTTCGATAATAGAAGGCACCTAAGCCATTTTTCTGCTATCCAAATTCGAGCCGGGCGTCGTTTAAATATATTACAGATACCTGATAAAATGAGTATTTATTACAATTATTTCTGGAACCCATGGCGTCCTTTCTTTACAGGAATACCTAAGTGTCTAATTCTGTTTTAATAAGGAGGACTACCTTAAGTATCTCGAGTTATCTTTACGCAAGTATCTGGTCGGATTCATTGTCTAATTTTCCCAATCGGTATATATATAGATTATACACATATTATATACTGATTGCACACATATTATACATGGATCATATAAATATTATACATTTGCCGACTATTTCTAGTTTAAGTTATTGGGCGGGTGGCTATTTAGTAAAAATAGCATGGGCTAGCCAGTTTTCGGACTAGTCATTCAAAAATAGCCAGCGTTTGCAAAGTCATTCAAAAATAGCCACTATTTTGCTGTAACATGGAAAGTTCCAGCATAATATACTGGAGATCGGTGCACCTGTGTATGAACTTCCAGCATGTTATGCTGGAACTCCAACACGCGGAAAGTTCCAGTATAATATACTGGAGATTGGAGCATCTCCAATCTCCAGTATATTATGCTGGACCGATATATAACTGGAACTATTTTTTTCGGATTTTGAATAGTATGTTCGTTCAGATTTATCTTTACATGAAAAGTGGCTAAATTTCGATTACTTTTAAAACTGTGGCTATTTTTGAATGACCGCTTGTAAATCTGGCTATTTTTGTATTCTTACCCATCATCCATCTAATCATGTATGCAAGTAAAACTATGTAATTATTGAGAATTAACAGGGGATATGGACCAAATGGTCATTTGGCCCATGAAAGATTTTCCAATTTCATAACGGGTAGCCCAATGGAGCAAAAGTCCCGGCTTAGCACTTCTTCAGCTAAAAGCAACAGGCTAGGTTTGGAACCCTTGTCGCAGATAAAAATGAGGAATGGTTAACTCTTATAAACCCTCCTTAAGCCCTTCGCTTCCTTTGGGAACTTGCCTATTCATTCCATCGACAATGGCTCGTCGATTAGTCAGACCCTTAGGAGGAATGGCCAAAAGGCTTTTGCTTCAGCAGCAACCCCGGCCAGTCATCTTTAATTTGAGTAGAAATTACATATCGGAGATGCGGAGGGAAGCATTTGAAGGGAACATTCTGAGACTCCTTCGCTATGAGATTCGCTACGAGCTTGAGCGTTCTCCTCCCTCTCAGGTACCCGCTTTCTCATTCCTTGTTAGTTTTTATCCCTTCCTTGTCGGAGTATGTGGGAATTGATTGCACTAAAGTGGGATTCGAAACAATAGAATTATTGCTGGGCATGGAAGCGTTAAAATATTTTCTAATTCAAATTAATGTTTTCGCTCTGCTGAACTGTGAGTATGTCTACAAAATTTAATGAATAAATGGATTGCCAATTGAGAAATTGCCAGTGCTGCTGCTGCTGCTACTACTACTACTCCTCAATCTCGAGTTATACATACATTAGGCTCAGGAAGAAAAAGGTAGTAAACAAAATACGAGCTTATTTGCTTATTTGTTAAAGTGGTGGTTGCAAAGTAAGCTAATATATGATGGTGGTGTAGCATATTAGTCTATTTTGTTTATTTCAGGTAGTCCCATTGAGCAAGCAATTGGACCTTTATCAATTTATTAGGTTTAGCTGATTTGAATAGACATTGGCGTTTCATATGATACCTTCTTAACCATGAAAAAAGATGAACCTTGTCAAGCCCCATTGTTCTTCTTTTTCCCCCTGGGGTGGTCAAAGATGTGAGGATTCCATGTTAAAAGCACTGGTCTGATCCACACCATAGATAGGATAAGCAGATTCTCCGAACCAAAACGAGAAAGTTTATTTACTTTTGAAAAATTCACAAGGACAAGAAGATCTTAGATATTGCTCGGTAGCTAAATCATCATATGATCTGAAGTATCCAAGACTTATAAATATTGGGTCACCGAATAGATGAGACATACATGTGTTCAATTGGGCACAATTTCCCGTAATATAACAAAGTTCGTGCTTTACAAGATCAGATCTGAATGTTACTGCACCCAGATTTCTATTACAATCTACATATGTTACTGAATATACTTTGTGGTAATTAAACTCTGAAAATGCTAAAACAGTGTCTTGGCTGATATGTGTGATGTGGACTAGCTTTAACCAAGGGCGGAGCTATGTTTAATTGAGGGGATTCAATTGAATCCCTTTCGTCCGGAAACTATACTGTGCAAATAGAGTACCAAAACTTTTTTATACATATATTAATGGGAAAAGGTCCAAAATTGCCCCTCTACTATACTATATTGTTTACTTCTGCCACCCGTTATATTATTCGTCCAATCTAGCCCCTACCGTTAATCAACTTTTAAAAATTGCCCCTAACCCTTATCTACACCGTGGCAGCTGACCCCCTCAGTTTTTTCCATGTCATCTGCCAAGTCATCGACCCCATCAAATTAAAACCCCACAGATCCCCAAACCCTTCGTATGACAAGATGTAAAAATAAGAAATTCTGCCATGGAAGAACCCAACAAACAATCTAAGATCCTAATCACAGGCTGCAAAGGTTCGCATATTCTTACCTCCTTCGGCCTCAAGTCGTCAAACTCTTCCTAAATCCCCTAATTCTCAAACTCTTAAATAAACATTCTCAATCTCATGAAACCTTGAATTATCCGAGACCCCATTTGTGAAACCTCAAACCACATAACTTTGGATGGCCCAATCAACAAGAAAATTACAGAAATCGAAGTTAGAACAACTAGCAATCAGCTTATAATAACACCATTGAGAGCAACCCCAAAAATGCTTGCGTATTTGGCGTAGAAAAAATTCGGCTTGACGATGAAACGAATCATTGTTTGAGTTCCGTTTGGACTGATTTGTGGCTTGAGGGTGGTTAATTTGAGCTTGTGGAGTTGAATTTTATCCTGGCAATTAGAGGTACAGTTGGTGGTGCCGCCGGAACAGTGCTCTATTCTTCAAAGCTTGATTCGGCCAATTGGGGCATTCAAAATTATTAGGAACTTTGATAGGAGGGGGTTGTGATACTTGACACATTTTTTGGCGTTGGTCATTCTGGCCAAAAGTCGTAAGAGGCCGATTTCGCCGGAAAATCGATGGCAATAATACATATATTTTTCTGAGATGTATTTTTCGTAGACACATGTTTCTTGACATAGGGATGGAGATATATGATTCTAATTTTGCAAAGTGTGTTCGGAACCACCTTGAACGGCGACCAGCTTCGACTTGGAGGTTTTGGAGTGTATAGGTGTGTGAGTTACTCCCTCGGTACACAATAAGTGACCAATTTGCTTTTTTATTTTGGTCCACAAAAAATGTCCATTTATATAATCAAGAAAAAATTCAATTTGTTTTTACAAAATTACCCTTATGTACATATCCCTAAAAAGTTTTCTTACTCATTAAATTACTAAAATTAAATAGCAGCAACCAAAAAGTCATTCAAAGACTCGAGAATAACTACTTCAGCAATTCTCCACTAGTGATGCTTGCAATTCTCCACTCAGTTGTGTGTCATCTTCTTCATCGGGAATAAGATTGAGGTCGGGAAATGCATCTTCATTAAGATCAGGTAGTTGTTCTCCACCAACATGCTCATCCTCATATTCCAAAGGAATGTTTAGATCAATTTAAAGTGGAGAAATTTGGTGCTTTTCCATTTTAGCCATGTTTAACAATAACCTGGAAATTGAGCTTCCTTTTATAAGATAGTTTTGGTGGCAAAAATTGAAAAAATTGGCTCCAGTTTGTTTTTTCAAAGACGTTCTTAAAATTTTAGCAAAAGTTTCAAATTTTATTTTGAATAATGTAGTGATTTGAGAAGAGAAGTAAGTGGTACTATAACTATGCTGCAATATTTAATTAAGGGTAGTTTAGTCATACTAGGTATTTTTGTATAGAATTTAGTATTTTCTTAATGGGCGTACCCAAAACAAATTGGTCACTTATTGTGGACCGGAGGGAGTAAGACTTAAGAGAGGGAGAAGAAGATGAGAATATTTTAGTAAGAAAAAAGGGGTGGGTTAATTAGTGGACCTGCTGACTTGGCTGCTGGCATGGATAAAATATTAGAGGGGTTGGGTGCCACAGTGGAGGGACGTTAGGGTTGAGGGCAATTATGCAAACTTTGTTAACGGTAGGGATAGATTTGGACGAAAAGTATAAGGGGGACAAATTTAAACTATATACCATAGTAGAGGGGCGATTTTGGACCTTTTCCCTATATTAATTGTTGAATCTCCATGACATAAGGGAAACTTCTAATATAGTGTCAAATTCCCTGGTGTGACATTCTAATATTTTTGGAATCCCGTTGAAATTTCTGGCTCCACAATTGTCTTTAACAATAGCTATCTAATAATTTTATTTATTTATTTATGCTCTGTTTTATGGATGCAACACGTGGTATACTTATTCGTGTTGCAGAAAGTATCTTATGGATTGTATTATTTATTATTTTGACTAGTTGTTTACTTATTTTGTCAGATATTGAATAGCGTGATTCAGCAATGTCTCTAGTGCTAATCTTTTTCAATTACCGAACTGCAGCCTATTGGAGAATTTAATTCATTTATCATTGATGAAAGACCTGGAGAGCAATGGATTAAATTAAACAAGAAATTTGGAGAGAATGAAGAAATTAAAGTTGAAGTAACCATGTTTGATGCATCTGTTCCTGTTAAAAAAGGTAATGATGCATCTGTTGCAGATGATGTGCAACTTCACATAACCATGATTGTGAACGTTTTCAAAGGAGAAGGCAATGATGTGCTGGAGTTCGTTTGCTCTGCATGGCCGAACAGCATTGAGATTCGTAAAGTTTACGTGCGTGGGCAAAATGTCAGAGTGGATCAGCCTTATGCAGGCCCTCCTTTTAAGTATGTATCTGAGATTGAATTACCTAATCTCCATCTGGCTTGCCAAAAATTCTTATTTGAGTTTTCTGTTGAACCTGCTTATGTGGTTGGTAAGAACTTCAGGAGTCGGAAATGTGTGAAACTGAACATTTTGAAATATCCTCAACTCTTTTACTGCCATTTTGGAATCATTCTTGCATTGTTTAATAATGAATAATTAAATTTGAGGGTTAAGCAGTCATTATTTAGTTTTGATCGGTTTTGCTTTTGGTGATCTTACTCCTAATTGTTCATCTATATTTCTCTTTCTTTTCCCTTTTCCTGTGCAACTGATGTACTCCAATTGCTAGCAATTGCAGTTTGCCTGATAGTTTGATTGGTTTTCTTTTTAACTTGTGATTTGCAGGGAATTGGATGATGAACTGCAGGATTCTCTTTATGATTTCCTAGAGACAAGGGGAATAAATGATGAATTTTGTGTATTCTTACATCAATACATGACGAACAAAGATAAACTTGAATTTATTCGCTGGATGGAAAAAGCCAAATCATTCATGGAGAAGAAATAGAGAGATGTTGCGTTGTTGAGTTACTTTAAATTATGGAGCATGCTCTGGGTGTCATAACTTGAGAGATACTATACTTGGAATGAGAAAGAGACACTTTTGTTTTAGCTCAATTGGAAGTCAGGCCATGCTGATTTGTTTGTCTTCAAGGTTTCGTACTACATTAACCAAAATCAACATTACTAACAAGAAAGGAAATAACATTACTAATTAGTTGATGTATTGTATGAAGATTGAAAATCAAGACCACATTCTTCAATTTACAAGGTTTTCTCTACATGGTTAGCAAAGTGTAGGTAGGGGCTTTGCCATGAAGCCCTTGTGTTTGGGGTTATAGGTTTATCCTTTTACTCGACCTCTCTGCCACACCACTTTTACTTGTTAAGTTTTCAGACTGCTATATGTTGGCCGTTTACTCAAAGATACTGCTGATGCATAGAGAGTATCCAGTATGTCATAATTTTTAGTAGCAAATTGGTATACTATGTAAGTGTGGCCTACTTCAGTAGCACCTTTGCCAGTTCAATTTTGAGAAAGGTTCCTCTTTTGACGTTGGGAGGTTTCGTTGTAACCATGTCCTCTTATGGCTGTTGTTTCTTCCTGTTTCAGAAAACACTCCAGTTTCTATATTGCTGGTAAAGGTAAATTATATTTGGCTAGACCATCTTATTTTCTTTTGTCCCTTTCTTTTTCTAGTCATTTTCTAGTATTCTTGATTTCCTGGTATAGACTGTTTCGCATTTTATGCTGCAGTTACTGCACATCTTCTATCAAACTTCCTTCCAGCTATCCTCCAACTTTATTGTCCGTTTGTAGCTTAGTATAACCAAGATACCTTTAACTTTTAATGGTGGTAGATATCAGCATTAGCTGAAGATGCATTGGATATATTATCAGAATCGTTTGCTGATATTTATCTAGTCAAATTGACTTTCTTTATTTTAGTTGGGAAGGTTAGGTTTGTTACATTGCACTTGTCTGCATTTAACATTTAATGTTGGTTTAAGTGGGACTCTTGCACTCCTGTTTGTATGCGTGCTTGTGAGATAATGTAGTAGGTATTCACTATTTGTTAGACTAACTCAACTCTCTTTGTTTAGAGTTCTTATGGAAAAACTACTCACTGTTATGTGCTATTTCTATATCTGGATTCCCTTATCCATTTTGTAAGCTAATTAATGTAATCCTGGAGAATTTAAGAAAGGTACAGCTTTATGTAGAAGATGTCTTATTTTGCTTGAAGGTTAGGTTTTCATTGTAATTCATATAGTTCTCACTGTTTAGCTGCATCCACTCACTATAATTGAGTCCAAGTATGATGAAGATATATTCATTGATTCAACAGACCTATTTTATGGTCTAAGCTATATCCAGTAATGGGGAAGAGGGGATTGATTGGTCGTCTAGATCAATTATTGCCCGGGTAATGTGCTTGTTATTTCCTCGTAGTCTCAAGGTACTGGCCATCAATTTTCTACCACTACCTACACCTGTACTGTATGTTGAGTTTGTTTAATGGTTTAAAATGGTCAAACCCTCAAAAAGTGAAACTTTTATTGCAATTTGAGGAACTGAGTTTGACTGAAAACATCTTTTTGTTGTGCTATATTAATGGTTGAATTGATTTGTTCAATGTTGTTGCTTTCCTAATCTAAATGTTATCGTCATGGGTGGGAGTTGCTTTGTAAAGGGAAAGCAACATCTGAGACAACTAGTAGCATTATATATCTCCTCTGGGTCATACCATATTGGCTGGCTACAACCAACTTATAGATCATTTAAGCATACAGATAAACTGGCAGTTTCTCCCTGAAAAGCACATGGAAAGGGAAAGTGGAGATTTCCTTTTTCTTCAACAGTTTCTTAACCTACCAAACAGAGGAAAAAGCATTTTCAGAAAAAATGAAATAAGTCTAAGTTGCAGGTTGCTTGTTATTACTTCATGTCCTTTGATTATTTAGTACTACCTTTTCTTTTAATGACCTCTTAGCATTCGATATTTAGATATCTTGTCCTCTTTATCACATGAGCATTTTTATCCTTGTGGTCCGGCCCTTTCCCGGACTCCGCTCATAACAGGAGCTTAGTGCACCGGGCTGCCCTTTTGATAGGTGGAAAGCAATTTTCGTCACTTTTTACACATAACTAGCAAATTGTTACTTCCGTGTCATTTAATTTTACTAGAAGTATGGAATGTGGAAAATGAGTGAGTCACAAATGAATAAAGCATTTTTCACTTCAGCAAAAGTAATAAAGACATGCATTGTCCAACGTATTGCTACGTTTTAGTGTGAAACTTTTACGTTATATACTAGGGAAATTTAATTGAAGCCTATTCTTTAACCTTTGGTTTTTTGTATAGATAACTCCTCTTGCATATGTGCAAGTGGCATTATCGGTAGTTAACAATAGCTATTACCACTACTACACTACAAGTTTTAAAAGAAGCAAATTGGGGTCAGTTATATGAATGCAGTTAACTGTCTATGTCGCTCCAGCTTCTTAAGAGATCCTCAATTGAAGAACACTCCTAGTAATATCAAGGGTGGATATGATACAAAATGGGAAAGATAGTTTCTTGAAAATATCTATTCTAATCCATTCTAACCTTATAGAGCATAAACTCAAGTGTCTTTTCCTTTTTGAGATCATCGTCATTTCAGTCTTACGTTGTTTATTTGATAGCTAGAATGTCAAATGCTTATGTTTTGGATCAAAGTAGCAAAATGAGATTAATTGTGGTGGTTGAGGAGCTGCTAAGTTGTACATATTGCTTTCATTAGCTGCTGAAAAAATGACAGGAAGAAAGTACCATCAATCAAGCAATGAAAATACATAGATTTGGCCCACGTTGTCCATTTTTAAGCTTTCAAACTATTTGTCGTTTTTCCTGCCATAAAAACACTAGAGAAACATATTTTCTTGACTTACTCTGATAATTTCAGTATGCCCACCAACCCTACAACCTTTAATTTCTTTGGATTTCACGTACAATATAGACAATTTAGGATGTTCTCTTGCACGCGCCAAGTATCTCTTCTTCAACATTAATCATGAACTATCTTTACATGCACATCATGCCTTGTAATAATTAATTAAGTGGAGGTCAGTTGTTCTTGTTTGTTGCTTTGAGTTGGATTTTACTTTGAGAAAATAACATGATTAAGTTTTAAATCCATCATAAAGTCTAATTTGGTCCCACCTAATTGTGGAGTGTTCCTGTTTAAAAGATTTCTTAGGTAAGAAATCAATGCAATCAAGATTTTACAGCATTAAAATATATGACGATTTTGATGTGATTGAATAGCTTAAAAATGTTTTATTAGACTTGAAAAGATATCAAAGTGAGCGTGGACTAGAGTCATTACAGAAACTTATACTTTCCACATGCTTCCACCAACTCAATGAGAAAGACCTTTCAAAAGATAGTCTATTTCATCAACTGTTCACTGCCCATTTTGGATAAAATCTCAGCCATAGAAACCGGAAGATTAATTGAAGTAGTAGTTGTTATTAATTCATTAACAGTACGGATTTTTGTCGGCATGTGACATATGCTTCACGTTCAAGATCGATCTTATGATCTTATAGAAATATATAAAACGGCAGTCCGGTGCACAAATTATTCCGCGTTTACGCAGGGTCCGAAAAGAGATGTGATGTAGACAGCTTACCCTGACGCAAGTATCAGTGAGTGACTGATTTCACGGCTCGAACCCGAATACAATTTGACTTTGTTTTAAAGCTCCCATATATGATAGAATCAATTTCCAAGGCCAAATGTACAGCTAATTTCTTGGTATGTGTTGTGAAACATGCATTTCCTGTACTTGTAAACTTTGAACTCAATTATTTAACATACCATTTAAGGCAAGATTCGAGCATGATCTTAAACCAAAATGTTGCAAATCACATCATAAGAATTAACTAGTCGTCTGCAGCTAGAGTACTACTACTGCAGCCGGCCGCATAAGAACATTTACAGTGGACCTAAATTAACCCGACCAGATATGCTAGTACGAAGCTTGAAAAAGAAAGTAAAATCTGAATAAAACAAAGGACGAAAAATTGTAAGAAAAAAACAACTTAAATTTCTACTACTAGGACTCCTAGAGTTTGAGAGACAAGTCAAGCTTCTTCAATTCTTCTTGATTATTACTCTTAGAAATATGAGGACCACCACCACCACTATCCCATCTGTATGCTGAAATACCATCAACCACAGCAGGAAACTTTTGAATATTATTATCAAACCTAGCCGCGCCACCACCTGACGACGTTCCTCCGTTGTAAGTATTATTACTATAACAATCTGGCGGAGCAAGTCGACCAATAGCCGGCTGCTGATCAATAGGCCGTCGAATTGACCAACCTGGATGTCCGTACAAGGGTGCACCAAATGGGCTACTGGGCTTGTGAATCAGAGAGTGGACTTGAATTCCAAGAGACCTATTGAATGAGCCATGCAATGGAAGTGAAGCCATACTTGAATATTTGTCATAACCAAAATTAGCGGCTGCTGAACTAATTTTTTGACCTCTTTTCGCCATTGTTCTTTCTCGTTTATGTGCGTTTTGATGGCCGCCAAGTGCTTGAGAACTGTAAAATTTTCTTTGACAATAGTTGCAAGAAAATACCCGTGGCTCAGTTTCGTTATTATTACCTCGAGAGTTAGGATCCGATGATGAACTTGTCTGAATATTGGACTTGGACCCGTGGTCAGTATTAAGGCTTAGATCTAAAATAAGATCATCGTTTTCTTGTTCATCTGTTGTTTGATTTTGTGACACTTCTTCTGTCCTTTGACTTTCCATTTTCTGCTCGGACTGCAACTTATTTTGGAAATTGGAGAGGACAGTAGTTGGGGACAGATATGGTGCTTCAACTTTGAGAGAAGTACATGAATTATCTGATGTGGGAAATTTCATATGAATCAATAAGGTAAGGGGAAAGTGGGACTAGGACTTGCACTTTGTGTGTGATGATGAATGATGAAATATTATTGGATTTAATAGCAAGAAAAGAAGTAGTAAATGTTTATTGATTGAGAATTTAATGCTATGGTACTATGTAAGGAAGGAGGCATTACAGTTACAATAGCTTATTATAGTAAAATGAAAAAGATACTCCAATGGGAATTTTAGTAATAATAATAATACAGATATGTATATATAGAGAGAGATATGCATGTGTTATTTTGATGGAAACTAATGAAGAACTCAACCTCTTCTTCTGCTAGCATATATACCCCATTTAATGTTTCTTCTACTTTTTGCTTGTCTATATCTATTCCCATGTTTCCTGCCTTTTTTGGCCACCATCTATATTCTTGTCTTTTTTCCCATTTTTGGAATTTTCTTATGCTTCTGTTTTCTCACCAATTTATTGTTTCTCAGTTTTAAAAATTATTCCGGACTAGTAAATTAAACTTGCAATGAGCAAACCATTAAAAAAAGAGAAGGGTGGATGGGGGATAAATATTTACCCCTTCCGGTATTTGCATCAAATTATACTAATTTACCATAGGTAAAAAATAATTAAATTGAGGCATCAACAAAAAAAAAGAAGATAAATTGAGGCCAAGAATGTGCATTAATGAATGAGTTGGTGTTTAACTGTTAATAGATCAGGAAATTAAAGGTGAAAAATCTTTCATTTATTTTTGACAGAATGAAATTCAGTATTTATTACTCCAATTTTGAATATACTTCTCCTTAGACATCAAGTATGTATTATATACAGTCCACTTCAGAGTTGTATTATAGGCATTGATTATATTTTTCAGAGCCAGCCATTGTTAAAGGATTATGCTTTAATAAATCAACATATATCACGCATATTATTCACATCAGTTACATATATTCCTAGTTCAAAGATTCAAATTAAACTTTTTGGCGCAAGCATGAGGTAGCATTTAATTTAGCGTGTCTTTTTTAAACTTTTCCAAAATAATCAATAGTGAACGGTAATACTGTGCGCTGTTACTCCATTACATTAATTAGCATATATATGATTTCGACTACAAACTGAAGGATGTCCATATTTTTGCAATTAGTACTTTATCTTTTTGAAAATGGAAGGGAAAGAAAAACGTAAGTAACTAGGGGTGTCAATAGATACTTAAAATGACTAAACCGATCGAACAGTATCGTATCGAACCGATTTTTAGGTTTCTTTTAATAAAACCGTAGGCTTTTATATAAATCTATAACCGTACCGATAATTAGGGTAGGTTTTTTATTTTATGAAAATAAACCGAAAAAATACCGAACCGTACCGAATAAATTTACATGTGAAAAATATATTTATATATTAAGTTTAAAAATAATAGAATATTAAATTTTTCTTGGATTTTGGAATTATGAAAACAATTACAAGCCAACAAGTAATAAACGCAAAATCATAATTCTTAAACCTATTATGCTACTCCCATCGAAAATAAATTATTTTCAGCATATTCACTTGCAAGACACAAGGCATTATAGCGATTATGAGTAGCAAACTACAATGTATTTATTATATTTCCTTTCGTATGATTTAAATTTATCTTTTTGAATATTTAATCTTCGATAGACTTTATTCTTGAATCCCAGTCCCAGTTTGATTAATATCTTTCCACTCATGTGATTTATATTTTCTTTATATTAACTTGTTTAGTTTCTTTTACGCTATTGTAGAGTAGTTGATGGATCTATACTCTAGCCATCTTTCATATTTTCTTAATTCATCACCCTTTAAAATGTAAAAATGTCTAGAGAGTTTTACTAAGTCCTATAAAAGTATGTATGTTATTGCATTCTACTTCTACTAGTGACTTTTACATGACATTTTAAAAAAATACCGAAAATTAACCGAACCGTACCGATACCGAAGAGAAACCGATATAATTGGGACGGTTTCGAAAAGTCTAATTTTGGTTATACATAATGAATAACCGAAAAATTGGTATGGTACAAAATTGACAAAATAACCGGGCGAATCGAACCATAGACACCCTATAAGTAACCATAAGCTGATTTTATATTGGGGAAAATTTGTGTTCATATATACATGATGACGTGTCCTGACACGTGGAATGGATAATGAGTTGTAATTTGCCACGGTTCAAGAGTTACAAACAGGTACGGGTAAAAAGAGGCACGAGACGAGAGATTCAGTGCCTTGTTCCTGTTTAAGCTTATTTACATACGAACAATGAGACGAATGAATCTGGATAAAGAAAAAGATGCAAATACGGCATTTAAAGGGTATTAAATGCTGGGGCCGTTAAGGAATATATACATTCAATTTAATAATTATGTAACGTAGCATTTAATGTTAATTACTCATAATAGCCTCATTATGGCTTAGGCATAACGTGCATCTCCAAAGATTCCCAAAGGGTCCTATAAAAGGAGAAATATGTAACCACTGGAGGAAAACGACTATGGAGAGATACTCTGATTTACCAGCTTTTATACTTGGCTATTTTAAAATTTTTTTCTTTATTTACTTTTCCGATTATCAGTAACCCGATTCTTCTAATTTCTAGCTTTGACTAAAAATCTATTTTTTGGTTAAACAAATTGGTTCCGTTGCCGGGAATCTGATAATCAATTATATTTCAATTTGATTTTCTTGATTGCATCAATCATGTCAAACAACAATGACAACACTCAAGGAAACCCAGAAATTCAAACAATCCAGCAATTTTAGGGAGACTCTCCACGAGGCTCTCCACGAGGTTCCCCACGACGGTCTCGTGAAGGCACTCCTGATGGATCTCACACAAATGGACAGGCTCCATTTGAAAATGTTGAAACCATGAATGAGGCTTTGCAAAAACTTATTGCCTCTCAAGTCAATAAAGCTCTTCAGGCTTTTGTTAGCCAATTACTTGTTGCTCTACCCACATCTACTCCAAGCAACAATACTTTGGACAATCTTCGTTCTGGGTTGATTAATTCAGGCATTGGTAGAACCCCTAGTGAAACACAAGAGGGAGACCCAGGTAATCCAGTTAATTCTGATTTACAGAATCTAGTACTAACCTTGCAGAAACAGCTTAAGGAGCAAAATGAACGCATAGAACAATTACCTGGAGTACCGCCCGTGATCAAGGGAGTAGATATAGATAAATATTCCCAACAACCATGGAAGCCAAGTGCTGCCCCCCCCCCCCCAATTCCAAAGAAGTTTAAGATGCCTGATATTCCAAAGTATGATGGTACATCAGATCCACGAGATCACGTTACTGCATTCACAACCGATGTCAAGGGCAATGATTTGACTAAGCAAGAGATTGAGTCGGTCTTGGTCAAGAAATTCGGTGAAACACTCACTAAAGGGGGCTTAACATGATATTTTCTTTTACCTGAAAATTTTATAAATTCATTTGCTGAGCTTGCAGATTTATTTATCAAAGCATACTCGGGAGCTCAAAAAGTTGAAAAGCGAATGGAAGACATCTTCAAAATCAAGCAAGGAGACTCAGAGTTGCTTAGAGAGTTCGTAGATAGATTTCAACGGGAAAGAATGACGCTGCCACGAGTACTTGACAATTGGGCACCCATAGCCTTTGCTAGTAATTTGAATGAGAAGAGTTCAGAAGCCATGAGGCGACTCAAAAAAAGCCTTCGAGAATTCCCAGCAACAACGTGGAATGATGTCTACAACAGATACAGTACAAAGATGAGGATTGAAGAAGACATTATTTTACGACATAAAACAGAAGAAAAGGTAAGCTCAAGGCGTGTGGAAAATGAAAAGAGATCCGGTAAAAACAGGTACGAGCCATACATGGGACCTGCGGGAAAACACTCACGATCAAGGCAAGATAATCAAAGGTACGATCACAAACCTAGAAACAAGGAATCAGGCTCCTCATGGAGGTTCGGAAATGATCGGAACACACGCGGGTCACGAGACGATGATGGAAGTCTAAAGGCAAGGTTCAGTGGTTACAACTTCAACGTAAGCACCTCTGAACTCGTGGCTGTTTTAAGAAACATGGGAGATAAGGTACGATGGCCAAAGGAAATGCGATCGAATCCGAACAGATGAAACCCTGATCATTGGTGCGAATTTCATAACGATCACGGGCATAAAACAGCACATTGCAGGTTTCTGCAAGGTGAAGTTGATCATTTGTTAAAACGGGGGTATCTTACTGAGTTATTCAGTGAGAGAGGTAAACAAGCATACATGAAGAACAGGCAAGAGCCTCCAAAACCACCTTCGACCAAGAGAACTGTCAACGTTATAAGTGGGGGTGAAGAGATCAACGATGTATCATATAAAAAGGTTTCAAAAGTAACAATTACCCACGGGAAGCGGCCTCGACATGTACTGGAAGAGGAGAATGTTATATTCAACAACGCAGACGCCGAGGTACTCATAACTCCGCATAACGACGCACTGGTAATATCTTTACTTGTACATGACACTAACGTGAAACGAGTTTTGGTTGATCCAGGTAGTTCTGTAAACATTATTTTAATACGAGTATTGCGCGAGATGCAAGCAGAGGATAAATTAATTCCAAAGGCGCATACTTTGTCGGGATTTGACAACTCTAGTGTTGTAACAAAAGGGGAGGCAATACCTGCTACATTCGCAGAAGGCGTCGTTAAAGATACCAAATTTCAAGTCGTAGATATGGAAATGACTTACAATATGATTCTTGGGAGGCCATGGATTCATGACATGGAAGATGTTCCTTCAACTTTACATCAAGTTATTAAATTTCCATCTCCATGGGGAATACGCCATATCAGAGGCGATCAACAAAACATCTAGAAGCATCAATTCCGTTGCAGATTCAACTGTTAAGGGTGAAGACAAATAGCAATTACAGAATTTAGGTGAGGGTAACACGATGTCAACCTCACCTGAGCAACATCAAACGGATGTGGATTCGAGACCTGATACCATTCAAGAACCGGAGGAGAACGAGAACATCAAAACAACGATAGAAGAGCTAGAGGCCGTGGTGTTATTTATACATTGGCCCGAGAGAAAAGTGTACATAGGAGCTAATCTTAGCCCGGAGGTAAAATGTAAATTGATTGAATTTTTAAAAGCTAATGCAGATTATTTTGCTTGGTCCCATTCTGACATGACAGGGATACCACCGGAAGTCATGACTCGTAAATTGAATGAAGATCCATCATATCCTCCCGTCAAGCAAAAGAAAAGAAAGCAAGGAACTTTCAAAAATAAGGTGATTCAAGAGGAAGTTCAAAAAT